CTTCCGTTCCAGAATCGCGACCGGTCTTCTCGATATAATTCAGGCCGCTATCAACCTGATATCCTCTAAGGGAACGACTGCCGTCTCATCCACCAAACACTTCCTTAACTGCGACACGTGGAAGGTGTTGTGTATCTGACTAAGCTCCTCAGGGAGATCTAACCGATAAGCAACCCGACCCACCCGGGCCAAAACCCTGAAAGGACCAATAAATCTGGGGCCCAATTTGCCCCTCTTCCGGAACCTATGACACCTTTCCAAGGTGAGACTTTCAGAAGAACCATATCGCCCACCTGGAACTCCAAGTCCGAACGCCTCCTGTCGGCGTAGCTCTTCTGCCGACTCTGCGCAGTCTGCAGCCTACTACGGACCTGCTGGATCAACTCAGTCGTCTTGAGCACCACTTCGGTGCTCCCGATGACTCGCTGACCGACCTCGCCCCAACAAATCGGGGTCCTGCACTTCCTGCCATATAACATCTCAAAAGGAGGTCGATCAATGCTCGCATGATAACTGTTGTTATACGAGAATTCCGCTAACGGAAGATACGTATCCCAACTGCCCCCAAAATCTAAAACACATGCCCTAAGCATGTCCTCGAGAGTCTGAATCGTCCTCTCGCTCTGCCCGTCAGTCTGAGGATGAAAAGCGGTGCTGAAATGGAGACGAGTACCCATCTCGTCGTGGAACGCTTCCAGAATCTGGACGTGAAACGAACATCTCGGTCCGACACCACCGATACCGGCACTCCATGACGTGCCACAATCTCTCGCACATAGATATCGGCTAACTTTTCCGCCGATATACTCTCCTGAATCGGAATAAAATGGGCACTCTTCGTCAACCGATCCACTACTACCCATATCGAGTCCACCCCGCGTGCGGTCCTGGGGAGTTTGGTGACAAAATCCATGGTGATATCCTCCCATTTCCACACGGGAATGTCTAACGGCTGCATCTTGCCGTGAGGTCTCTGGTGCTCCGCCTTGACCTTCCGAGGTCAAACATCTCTCCACATACCAAGCGACATCTCGCTTCATGCAGGGCCACCAATAATCAGGTCGAAGATCTCGATACATCTTCGTCGCTCCTGGGTGGATAGAAAATCGAGACTTATGAGCCTCGTCCATCAATACTTGCCGTACCCCACCCCAGTACGGTACCCACACCCTACCATGAAGCGTCAACAAACCCCGACTGTCGTAATCAAACGAAGCTACTCGGCCCACTATCCTCTCGCACTTCTGCCTCTCCTCCTTGAGGCCCTCCATCTGAGCCTCCTTGATCCGCTCCAACAACGGAGTGATCACTGTCATCCTCATACACAGATCTCTGATAGGGGCCGTCGACACCTTGCGGCTCAGGGCGTCGGCCACCACATTGGCCTTCCCTGGATGATAAAGGATCTCACAGTCATAGTCCTTCAGCACGTCTAACCATCTCCTCTGTCTCATGTTCAAACTCGGCTGATCCATAAGATATCGCAAACTCTTGTGATCCGTGTAAATAGTACAGCGGACCCCATAAAGGTAATGTCTCCAAATCTTGAGGGCAAACACAACTGCCCCCAGCTCCAAATCGTGGGTAGGATAATTAGCCTCGTGAGGCTTCAACTGTCTCGAGGCATAAGCTACTACATGGCCTCGCTGCATCAATACTGCTCCCATACCTGTGATCGATGCATCACAATAGACTACAAAATCCTCTACTCCTTCTGGCAAGGTAAGGATCGGAGCCTCGCACAATCTCTGCCTGAGAGTCTCGAACGCCGCCTGCTGCTCAGGCCCCCAACGAAAAACCACCGACTTCTTGGTTAGCCGGGTGAGCGGCACTGCTATCTTGGAGAAGTCCTGAATAAATCTCCGATAATACCCTGCCACCCCAGGAAGCTCCGAATCTCAGATGGAGACCTCGGGACCTCCCACTGCATCACGGCCTCAATCTTGGCCGGATCTACCAAAATACCCTTCTGGTTGACGAGATGACCAAGAAACTGCACCTCGCGCAACCAGAACTCACACTTGGAGAACTTTGCGAAAAGTCTCTCCCTCCTCAAAGTCTCCAACACCTCCCGCAGGTGCTCCTCGTGCTGCCCCTGTGTCTTGGAATACACCAAGATGTCATCTATAAACACTATCACCGACCGATCCAGCATCGGTCTGCACACGCGGTTCATGAGATCCATGAACGCGGCTGGGGCATTGGTGAGCCCAAATGGCATCACCACGAACTCATAATGACCATACCGGGTCCTGAAAGCAGTCTTCTGTACATCCTCATCTCTAACCCTCATCTGATGATAACCGGAGCGTAGATCGATCTTGGAGAACCAAGACGCTCCCTGAAGCTGATCAAACAAGTCATCTATCCTCGGAAGTGGGTAACGGTTCTTCACCGTTACTTTGTTCAACTCCCGATAATCAATGCACATACGATGCGACCCATCCTTCTTCCTCACAAATAAGATCGGCGCTCCCCAAGGCGAACTGCTCGGCCGAATGAAACCCTTGTCTAACAGCTCCTGAAGCTGTGTAGACAACTCCTGCATCTCAGGGGGAGCAAGTCGATACGGTGCTTTGGCTATCGGAGCCGCACCAGGAACTAGGTCGATCCTGAACTCAACCTGCCTCTCTGGAGGTATCCCCGGCAAATCCTCGGGAAACACATCCGGGTAGTCACGAACAATAGGAACATCATCAATCGTCGTCTTGCCCTTCTCCCGGGCATCCAAGACGTAAGCTACAAAACCGGCGCAACCCTGCTGAACATAGCGCCTCGCCCTTGCGGCGGAACAAAAGATCGGTCCTCGCTGGGGCCTCTCGCCCTGAATCACTATCTCTCCCCCACTGGGAGTGCGAACCCTCACTAGCTGAAGCTCACAATCAATCACCGCCCCATTGGGGCTCAGCCAATCCATGCCCACAATAACTTTATTCCCACGCAGGGGAATAGGAACCAGGTCCACTGAAAACTGCTCATCAAATATCTGAAGGGAACACCCTCTATGTACTCTGCCGACCCTCACGGTCCTATCATCTGCTATCTCAACCTCTAATGGACAATCCAGCTCCCCTGGAGCTCTGCTAAATCTCTTGCTAAGCGCAAGCGATACAAATGATCGGGTAGCCCCCGAATCGAACAATACCAAAGCAGGGATGCCGTTCACCGAGAACGACCCTAAATAAAACATATCATCAAGTAATATTCAAACGATATTATAACAATTAAGAGATGGAGGAAAGATACATACCCGTCACCACATCAGGAGTCGCTCGCGCCTCCTCTGCTGTCATCTGAAATGCCCTGCTCTTCGCCACTGGCGCATCAGATCGGCCCTGCCGGCCATCCGTAATCCTCAAGGTGGCAGGGGCAGGTGCAACCACCTTCCCTGCTGCAGCTAAACTGGGACACTGGGACCTTTTATGTCCCCTCTGATTGCACTGAAAGCAAATCAGATCTGATGCTGTAACCGTAGTAGCAGGGGCCGTACAATCCCTACTCAAATGCCCAGTCCGACCGCACTTGTAGCAGCCGGAACTCCCTGCCTTGCACGCCCCCTCGTGCAATCTCCCACACTTGCCACACCGACCGTGGCTCTGCTGACTCCTAGACCTGTGATCTGAAACCTTGGGCTTTTTGCCCACACTGCCTGAACCCGAAACCGCCTCCGGTTTCCTCTTCTTCTCCATCTCGAGATCAATCTCCCTCTCTCTAGCTCTGGCAATCATGTCGTCCAGCGTTTTACAACTGGACCGGCTCACAAACATGCGGATGTCACTCCGCAACATCTCATGATAACGGGCCTTCTTCATCTCCTCATCGGCTGCATACTGAGGAACAAGAAGGGCCCTCTCGCTGAACTTGGCGGTGATCTCCGCCACTGTCTCTGTAGTCTGGGTAAGGTCCTGAAACTCCCTAGCTAACTGCTGCACCTCAATGACCGGTGCAAACTCCGCCCTGAACCTGGTAGAGAAATCAGCCCAGGTCATGGCATCCAATGCCGCATCATCCCCGATGGCATGTCCGACCTCCTCCCACCAATCCCGTGCCCTGTCCTTCAGAAGACAGGACGCCAATCTGACCTTGTCCCCCTCGGGACACCTGCTAGTGCGGAAAGCGTTGGCCACATCCACCAACCATCTGGTACTCGCTATGGGGTCCCGCGCCCCATGATAGTCTGGAGCCCCGCATGCCCTGAACTCCCTGAACGTAAGTGTGCGCGACCCCATCACGGCTGCCATCTCAGCGCGGAAAGTACTCAATCTCTCATCCATCAGCTCTAAAATACCCTCCTTGATCGAACCGAAGATCACAGGAGTCTGCTCTAGTATGATGCGGGTAACCTCAGAAGAGAGGAACTCCCTAGTCTGCTCATCCATCTGCCCGGCCTCCGGGCCTGATCCCGATCCTGATCCCCCTCCGGCATCTGAACTGCCGGCTGCTGGCCTCGGATGCAAAACTACCATTCTGAAACATATCATAACAACATCAGAACATTGAAATATCTCAAGGGATCATGATACCCACTACTAGCTTCCTGGTCTTGTCTTGGCCTTCCTTGATTCGAGTACGGATCCTCTGCTTTCAGTAGTATGGGCCCCTACTACCTTCCACATCTATCCGTACTTTCCTCAAGAACTGCCTTGACTCCACCAAGTCACTTCTACTACTGCCATTCTCTGCTACTCTCATCCTAGGCTTGCCCTAGAGAAACCTCAAGCTCAACACGACTGGTCCTCAGCTGCTGTAGGTCTCCTCATAATGCCAGCTAGCCACCACCTAAACACCATCACATGTGATGAGGATCAGATAATCCTTCAAGTAAAAGATCCGTCCCTACAACGGTTGGACTCAAACAAGAGCTGCGCAATAGGGCCAGTTCCAGCACTCTTCTGCCATGATTCTTCGAAATTCGTTTTCTAAAGAATTTATTCAAGATACGTCGGGCTGCGTCGAAGAAAGGCCCAACTAATTAAACAACATCATCTAATTCTTCTGCCATGGATCTATTCCGCTCTGGTATGCAATCAATTTTTTGTTTCTCGATTTCAATTTCACTATAAGTAGGTTAGTTTTTGCTTTAGTTTGATGATTTCGTTCGATTTGAAGTAAAATCAAGGCCCATGGATTACTGTTTTTTCAACTTTTAGCCGGTAGCTGACTTCAGAGGCAAATTACGACCATAATTCTATACATGTTATCAAGTTGGTCCATAGCCGTATAAATTAATCTTAATCGAGCTATGTTCTCGGATTATTAACTTTCAATTTACTCTAAAGACGGTGATGAATAGATACACAAAAACAACTTTCACCGATCATGTTAAGTTCTCACAAGAGAGTTACAAAATTCCCTTTTGATTGTCCCGAATTCCATGTGTTGTTCTTGAACCAGTAACTCCGTGTTCAATCGTTCATATGTGGATTCTGACATGATAAATAACAACACTCAATCACTCATGAAATATAAAGTCGTTCATCTGTTGAGATTTTGATCAAAGTCATCTGATTTAAGCTAAATCTATTGCTAAAACTGCAAGTTTATCACAATATACATACTACTAATCAGATTCAGATAACTGCCTACTTTCACTTGTAGAATTAACCTTTCGCTTCAGCTTCAGGTAAAGCTGCATCCAAGGAACTAGAGCGTATTGATCAGCTATACTATTCATATGCAAATGAGTCTTCTGGTATGATTGAGTAAGTGCTATCTATCTATTTCTTTTGGTGATTGAATTTGTTGCAGTAGATTACTAGATTCTGCATCAAGTCTTAGTTTCTTCTTCTTCTTCATCTTCATCTCTAATACATTCATGTTTATATAAACAGCCCAGAAGGAATAGAATATCTTTGTTCTGACTTAAAAGTTGAACACACAGATGTCTGCATATTGATGCTTGCTTGGTAAGTTCCCATTGCATCCATTACTTCATTTTATCACATCTTTTATCACTTCCATTATTGATTTCTCTATAATTTCCAGGAAAATGCAAGATGAAAAGCAGGGATACTTCACCCTGGTAATAAAAAAACCAACCTTTTTAACCTAATTAGTAACATGATGAATAAAAATGAAACGACCCAAAAACATGACCCAAAAATTTTCGTTTTTCAATATAATCAAACCCATAATATAAGTATCATAACATAAAACACAGGCGATGTATCCCCAAAACATAATAAAATATTGTGCGGAAAACTGTATCATACAACATCAATCCAAAACATCAAAAGACATCCCCAGGATAAAAGCTATGCTGTGGTGTGTGCGATGCTGTCACCCCGAGCTCTTCCCTTTGCTTGCGGAAGTACCTGAAACCAAACTGAAACTGTAAGCACGAAGCTTAGTGAGCTCCCCCAAACTACCACATACCATACAATAACACATAAACACATATTGGGCCTTGCCCACTGCATCGGGCCGAAGCCCGGAACTGCATCGGACCGAAGTCCGGAACTGTCTGGGACCTTGTCCCCTGCATCGGACCGAAGTGCGGAACTAACTGCATCGGACCGAAGTCCGGAACTGACTGGGACCTTGTCCCCTGCATCGGACCGAAGTCCGGAACTGACTGCATCGGACCGAAGTCCGGAACTGACTGGGACCTTCTCCCCTGCATCGGACCGAAGTCCGGAACTAACTGCATCGGACCGAAGTCCGGAACCGACTGACTGAACATGGCATAGCATAACACATCAACTAGCATAACACATATACGACATGCTACATCGGGCCGTGGCCCGGAACACATAATACTTAACACATAAAACATTGCACACAAATCCTGTTCGAACCACAAAGGCATCGAACATACTAACTACTGCATCGGACCTAAGTCCGGAAACTACTGCTAACTGAACGGGTCGGCATTGTGGCCTTAGACCCGTTCCTACTGGAAGGAAACTCACCTCGTAAGCTGGCTGCTGAGTGTGTGGCTCGGAAAGCTAACGGCGGCTGCTCCTGAATCTCCTCGGCTACAAGTCCATAAACACACTCAATCAAATACTAAACACTGCGCTTGGGGTAAAATGACTCTTTTACCCTCGGTCAAAGTCAACTCTCCTTTGGGCTGACTCGCCGAGTTGGGCCACCCAACTCGCCGAGTCCTACTCTCACTTTTCACTTTTACTCACTGCTACTCGTCGAGTCTGGCATCGACTCGACGAGTACCCTCTTGATCCAAGAACTCAGACAATCTTCATCCGACTCGCCGAGTCGTATGAACAGACTCGACGAGTCCCTCCATCACTGAGTTCACCCTCAACTCGTTGAGTCCACTCTCTAACTCACCTCGTACACTCGACACTGATAAAACTGAAGAACTCGGGACTCGCGACCCAACTCGTCGAGTCGTTCTTCCGACTCGCCGAGTTGCCGCCATGCAACTGATTTTTACTCGATTTTGTTTGAATCCAATGCATACAATTGATAGATCTGAGTCCAATAAGCTGATTTACCACGTAAAGTTTCCAACTTTACGTGCACAACCTCATGAATAAGGGAAATAAGGCTAAAAGGTGCATAAAATGGGTAGATCTATGGTTATCATGCAATATAACTCCAAAAAGACAGTAGATCTGGGCTCTACAACACCCCAACATTCAGATCCATAGCTATTTCGACTTAATAAGACGTTCATGCAAGTGTAAGGCTTGGAACAAGCATCAACTAGCTCTTAGGAGAGCTCTAATGGAAGTTTAAAGCATATAACAAGATGGAACTCCGAAAATACCTCAATTAGCTCTGATTTGGCCTTGGATCTTTGCACTACAACACTTCTCCTTGCTTCTTCCTTCTTCTCCTTCTTCACACCTTCACAAAATGGCACCAAAACACATATAAGCTCTTCAAGGGAGGTTTAGGGTTCTAACACTGCGTTCTCAGGGTGAGGGAGGCGAGGATGGGGGCTATAAGGTGGTATAAATAGTGGGCAACCCGGGGATTTTAGGGTTTCACCCAGACAGATGGACTCGCCGAGTCAGGGATATGGACTCGCCGAGTCCCCGGCTCACGCGTGCCCTCAGGCGCGACCCTACTCGGCGAGTCAGGCTAGAACTCGCCGAGTCCCTCTTGAAAAACTCACTATAATTACCAATAAATCAACATACCGGGAACGGGTCGTTACAAAAAACTTCATAAATTTCTATTCTTTATAGGATGAATGGCAAAAAGGGCTTAAAGCATTACAGAGTAATACCATAGTTAAGTTAAAAAAAGGCACTTCCTGATCTAGACAACGAGATATTTTACTATTTTACCATACTTTTCTCTTTCATTTTCTTTAAGTTTTGTTAAATAAGAAAGAATCAAATTATGTGGGGTTCTATTCTTATGCATTTCGATATTGCCTAACCGGTAAATATGGTCTAACGTTACTTGGAACTTATGCGGGTATCAGATGACTGGCTATGAGTCAGCCAGTCATCTGAGCACCAGTCATCCGATATAATATCTCAGATGACTGACACCAGTCAGTATTTTGTAATACACAAAGTACAATTGCTTACCTTTCAATAGTATTTTTTTCAAGGTGTTTTGTGAAAAAAGAAAAAATCTGCTCTCTCACATCTGTGATATCATTAAAATGTGATGTGGGTTTTTTTTCAGTGATAAAAAGATGGAAGGAGATGAAGGTTTGAGAAGTGTGGAGTGTTAAGAGGCTAATTGATTGTTGAAAGATCATATTCCAAGGCTACTAAAGATGGATCTAAACAAATTGACAAAAAAGGTTTGCGTTTTTCATACTCATTGTATATTTGTAGAATTGATGATTTGTTTTACACACAATATGCTTTTCACTATTTATTGTGTGTGTGTTTGATGTGCAGTTTGGTCTAAATTTGACCATTTTACCCCTTACCTTTGCTTTGGTTTTCTGTTGGTTGACCGGGAATGGGGTTCTTCTATTTGTTGTCATCAACAGAATTTAATGAGTCATTGTTGGCCCATTCTCATTACATATTTACTGATTATGATACATATGTAGCGTATTTAAACCAGAAAAAAGAGGGCAAACACAAATAATGAACATATGAATGAGGTTGAAAATCTTTAAGGGGACTTATCATGCAGTGCATGTAAGCGTTTGTTTATATAAATTCAAAAATGTGCTCTTTTTGTATAAAGTTTCGATTTTTAATATAATTTTTTTTTTTTACTTTTACATGTTTGCTGATTTTGAATATTTTTCTCAGTTGGCTATCCAGGTTTGTTGATCTTTATTTCTTTTCAAGGCTAAATTTAAGAAAAATAACAATGTACTTTTGTAAGTTCATTTAGGAAATATATTTTTTCTTCTTGCAGATTTTACATCCTTTGTTTAACCCTCCTTGATTCTTAGATATATGAAGCAAGGTGCTTATTTATCATGATATCATTTAAAAATACTACAAAATTGGCTTCTATATTTATGTGCAAGGTAAGTTATTTAAACTTTGATATATGGCTAATTGATAGTTGGTTTTAATTTGTTTAGACAATTTGAGGGTCCCCATGCTATTGATAGCCATACTTGCTACAGTTGTTGGAAATCAAATTCAAGGAAGAACACATAAATGCTGCATTGCCAAAGGATGAGCAAGGTGCTTATTTATCATGATATCATTTAAAAATACTACAAAATTGGCTTCTATATTTATGTGCAAGGTAAGTTATTTAAACTTTGATATATGGCTAATTGATAGTTGGTTTTAATTTGTTTAGACAATTTGAGAGTCCCGATGCTATTGATAGCCATACTTGCTACAGTTGTTGGAAATCAAATTCAAGGAAGAACACATAAATGGTGCATTGCCAAAGGATGATCAAAATTTTGGTTTTTCTTTTTACTTTTCGTATCAAAATTTAACAAATTAATTACAAATGTGAGTTATGGTTCTCTTTCTTTAGAATACATTTATGCCTCTTTATTTTGGAAGAAATTTTAAGGATTACTTTATTTAACGTGATTCAAACGATTACTACTGCTTAGACTAAAGTTGAAAGGCAAATAAGCTTAAGGTTCTAAAATTTGAAGCAGCCTATTGTTATACCATCCAACTACCAAGGGGAATCTTTTCTAGTATTTATATATTTAAATGAAAATAATAATAGTTTGTGATTTTGACTTCCAACCTGTAACAATAGTTTGTGATATTGATGTTAGTGCAAATATAATATTTTATTTTTCACTAAGTTTTAAATTAAAAACCCAACCAATAGTTAAAAACTACACGTTGAATTATAAATTTTAATTTGAAATCTCTTACACCGAAATAGCGTCAGCAACATTCATTTTTGGCCCAATGTTACACAACTCACTAATAAACCTATCTAAATCCATAGATGATGTCCCACCATCCTTCACCGCTTGAATAGCTTTGGATTTCAGTTCTTCCGCTTTTATTTTCCTGTCACTTTTCTCCCCACTCATTGACTCGGCAATTATCCGAGCCAACTCGGTTGCGTCAGGTATAGTATCATTTCCTTCACAAACTCGAACAGCTGCACCAAGGTCTTCTACTAACAACTTAGCATTAACATATTGGTCAGCTTCCATAGGCCATGCCAATATCATAACTCCAGCTACAATAGCTTCAAGAACCGAGTTCCACCCACAGTGACTCAGAAACCCACCAACAGCTGGGTGACTCAGTATCGACACCTGTGGTGCCCAACCCTTTATCACTTTTCCTCTACCCGACCCGGTTCCAACCGGGCCACTCTGTTCCGGTTTCACCACCCAAACATAACGAATCCCACTCTCCTCGAGCCCAATTTCCAAAGCCTCCATTTGCTCGGTTGTCAAGAACTTCTGGCTTCCAAAACACACATATACAACACTCCCATCGGGTTTGTCATCGAGCCAACTCAACACATCACACCCGAAACCAATACCAGACTTGGTTGGATCCGAATCCGGAAGCAAAGTAACCGGCCCGACGGCGAAAACCCTCCCATGACCCGTTATCTTTGTGAGATGCTCCATGTATGGAGACTCCAATGCATCAAAGGTATTGACAACGCAACCCCAACTTGATGCATTCATGATAAAACCATCAAGAACAAGCTCCCATTCAGGATCCGATTCCTTGTAGAATCGAGCTATGGATGGAAGATGCTCCCATGGAAAAGTAGGAGAATTCGGGAGATCGTGGAAAGTGACGACTTCCTGAGAACGAGAACGAATCAACGACATATGGTTGCAGATGTAGTCGAGGGTAGAGGTCAAGAAAGCACCGGAGGAAAAGAACCCGATCCTCGGGATGCGTAGCTTGTCGGCGAGGTGGTGTGTCCATCCGAGAAAGAAATCAGAAATGATGGCAACAGGTGGATTAGAGTGGGAGTTGAACCAGTGGATGATTGGGTCTTGGAGTTTTGCGAGTGAGTTGATGATAGGGAGGTTTCCATGGTTTCCGATGTCTCTCACGTTTTCTACACCCTCAGGAAGGGAAGGGTGGGGTGGGAAGGTAAATACGAGGGGTTGGATGTTAGAAAAAGAAGAGAGAAGTGGGTTGAGAATTGGGAGGTTTTTTGGGGTCACCACGATGGTTATGGTTAAACCGTGTTTGGCTAAGCGGTGAGTTAGGTCCAGAAGTGGGAGCATGTGACCTTGTGCTGGAAATGGGAAAACCAATATATGTGCACCTGTGGCTGTCTCTTAACAAATATCAATCCACTTTCTATAACAACAGAAGAAGATACATGAATTATCATTTATCAACAGGACTTACCATTTAGTCTTTTGAATTCAGTAGCTCGGATATCATCGATATAAGATTCATCCAACTTTTGCTTCATCAAGGAAGAAGACATAGATCTGGTCACAAGCACCAATCTTAATTACAAAGTTAAATTGTAATCTTTAAGATTAGTAGCATTTGTATAATTAACAATTTTACTTTCTTCAACTCAATTATATGTTAGCATTTTGTCCCTCTTCCATTATCTAGTGCCACCAACTAAAGTCAAATATAAGGTAATAGCCATTGTAAATTTCTACCCAGTGCTCAATGCCATATTCGTACATACTACTTTTCTCACATGAACTAATTATGAACAAACTTTAGTCCCACCAAGTAGCTATTTACTCTCACCCCAAAATTCTAAGTTTTCTGATTCTTATTCTATTGTATATGAAAGATGAAAGAAGTCGTATACAACTTGTCCATAATTGTAGTGCTATTAAATTAACTAGAAATCAATACCATTAATAGAAATAGGAGCAATTGGTTCAAACTTCACAACAGCAAGGAGAGGATTGAAACTACTTTTAGTGAAGGGAATTTAATCAACAAATACAAGATAGAAATACTAACAGTAGAGGATTCAATCAAGAAACTGTTTCTTGATAAGATTCAGAATACTTTTAGGGAAGATAACTTACAGGAAGTAGATTTAGGGTTTCTCAGCGGGAGGCAGATGACGATGTCGGAGACGAGGGAAAGCTGTGTAACTGCTCTGTGGTACGCTAATAAAAAGTTTTTTTTTTTTTTTTTTTTTTCAGAAAATCTATACTTCTGTGATTACAATCTGCACACACGTAATCGATCTTTCGCATCAAGAAGAACCTCGAATCGTGTGATAAAAGAATCGACACATGTCTTTTCTTTCTACCATTATTTATAAAGTTAAATTACTTTTCTACCCTTCATGGTTATTCTTTGAATATTTTGTTTTTTTTTGGTTTTTTTTTGTTTTGTTTTGTTTTAAATTTCTATTCTTATGGCTTGTGCTTTCTCACTTTTTCTAATCTCTTTTTATTTCTATTTTTTCTCTTTTTCTAAGCTCATTTATTTTTATTCTTATTTCTTGTGCTTTCTCTCTTTCTCTAAGCTCTAGCTCTCTAACCTCTAACGTATTATTAATTTGTTTCTAATGATGATCAAAATGAAATATGTAAAACTTTAGAACTTTTAAAAAGGAAACTTTGCAATTTTTCATAAGAAAATAAATGACACACATTCACTTACTGTTCTAATCTTTCCAATATAAGGTTGAAAGGTGAAGTGATTAAACAACATGAAACAAAGAGGGGATTATCTATAAAAAGTGAAGCTCGAGATAATGGATTAAGAGTGTAACACCTTGTTGCATATATTTCTTAATTCAAAGTTTGTGGACCGTAATTCTATCAAGAAAAGGCTTTGGGCTTTGAGGAAGTAAATTTTAGACCTTATTGAATGTTAATAATATTGGTTATGAAAGCCCTTGATTGGGTGTTGGAACCAAAAGGGTAAATTTGGAAAAGTGATATCTCGGGCTTTTTGAATGAATCAAGGATTTTAGTTCCATAGGTTTTTAATGAAAAGTAACTAGATGAGATTGTGAGTCTTGTCAATACCTTTCTGTGTATATAAAGCCAAAAACAGAGTTAAAACGAAGAAGTTATGGTTGTTTGAAACTGACCTAAAAGATGGGGGTGGGGGGGGGGGTGCCCTACGTAAGGCATAAGGTAGCTACATATGACGTATAAGCTAATAGAGGGACACATTTTTAATGAGCTACATAGGGCATAGCTTATGTTATGCAGGGCGTAATTACTGCTAACCAAAACCCTAATTCTAAGGTTTTGAATGCTATTTAAGGATTCTAAACCCTTGTAGCGCTTCTCATAATAAGCCTCCACCATCTTTGACACACAACTCAAAACCCTAATCCTCTTGTGTAACCTCACAAAAATTCATAGTAAAATTTTCATTTTTTTTTATAAATATAGTAGGCCATATAAATGAGTTGTTCCAAAACCGATCAAGGTGAATATATTATTTAAACATCAGAGTAAATATTGAAAATTGCCAATGCGGAAAACTCTAGTGGATGCGGTGCAGTCGCGTCGGACCCTTCCCTTTTGCACCAGAAAAACCTGAAACCATAAACATAAACTGTAAGCACAAAGCTTAATGAGTTTCCTAAAGTACCACATATCATAACATACAAGTGTCACAGGTTACCCTCCACGGTCCTTCCTTGCAATGCTGAGGGCCAAATCCATATCATACATATAAGTGCCATGAACTACCCCCATGGTCTTTCTTTGCAAACCCGATGGCCAAATCCCAATCTTACATACAAGTGCCCATGAGCTACCATATGGTCTTTCCTTGCAATGCCAATGGCCAAATCCTGGTCTTACATACAAGTGTCATGGGCTACCCCATGGTCTTTCCTTGCAATGTTGAGGACCAAATCCTGGTCTTACATATAAGTGCCAGGGGCCAGATCCTGGTCTTTCATATAATTGCTAGGGGCCAGATCTTGGTATTTCATGCAAGTATCACAGAGACACCTAGCATTCAACAAAACAAAGTAATAGTCTGACATTGGTGCCTTCGACCTATGGATCTAATGAGGAGACTCACCTTACAGTGTGAAAGAATAGCTGCACCGATCACTGCTCTAAAAGCTATCTCTATTGGTCACCTCTAGAAGAAAGATTAAGGTGAACAAGGTTTGGATCTACAAGCTCCAATGCAATCAACACATCTCCTATGAGCTCCTTCTTCTCCAAGATTCACAAAGAGCACTCCACAATACTTCAAAACACATTCCTTTTACTCACAAGGCTTAAACAAGGGTTAAGGTTTCAAGGGAGGGTGTTGGAGAGGTGGAGGCTAAGAATGGAATGGGTTTAGGGAGGTTAAGGAGCTTAAATACCTCAAACTAGGATGCTAGGGACATGAACAATCCTTTTTCATTCAAGGACTGGATAAGTATCTCTTATGCTGATGACTATGCAATTAAAGTAAGCCATTGGGTTATGCTTAATGTTTCAACATAACATGAGACTTGATACATACACCAAACATGCTTCCAGGGACAGGGTTAGGTAAAAATGATTAAGTTAATAGCCTTTTTATCAATATTTTTCTCATTTGGACCAGGCTATCTCACTTTGAGAGTTTAGACAATGTTAAAGAATCAACATGAGAGGGTGGCTCAAAGTTCTTAGCAGATGGTCTCGTTGATGAGAAACTTAGAGAGATTTTGTCACATATAACAACATGCTTATAGGGATGATGATGTGTCAAAAGTTGGATACTAGGCTTAGAATTGCCACCGTCAGATTCCTTTACAAGATGGTACAAAAGAATAAACAATATAAGAATACAAACAAAAGAATTAGTCAAACAAGGAAACAATTTAAACAGAGAAAAATGTGCAGCTTTTTCAGAAATGTTGTAACATCCCAAGTCCAGGTATACCTTGTAACTCTTGGTCTTTGAGTACTTGTCCATTTTAGTCCCTTTATGAGAAAAAGGTGGCGAATGAGTACGCGGGGCGTACGCGAGTGTACGCTCAACGTACTCATATGCATGCATTTGATGCGGAAGCCACCTAGTACGCTGAGCATACTAGGCCCAGAGTGAAAACCCTAATTTAGGGTGAGACCCCTATTTAAAGGATATGATGGCCTCATTCTTGGCCACCATTCTCAGACAACAACCCTCCTAAACCCTAGTTTTGTTCTTAGAGCTTGTAAGTGCATTTGAGAGCCTTAAGAGTATTCTTGTGTTTCTTTGGAGTGAAGAAGGAGTCTTGAAGAAGAAGGAGTGGGATTCCAGGCTTTGGATATGAGCTTATCTGAGTGTGGAGCTTCATTTTGAGGTACAAAGCTCAAAGCTTTCTCACTCTTTTGATTTGTGCATCATAGTAGAGTATTTTAGGGTTTTGTCCCAAAAGTTGGAGACTTTATGTGATATTGAGCTCCAAAGACTATGATCAACCCTCTTTGAGTGAATTTAGTGGTGTAGTGTCATAAAAACCCAATATTGGACATTGGAATCAAGCCATGCATAAGATATGGGCTTCTTGAGATAAGAGAGTAAGTGTTTTGTGTGCTTGTGACCATTCCAGCCATGCAAAGGCTTAAAGTCACTGACTTTATGGATCAAGAGGTATTAGGGAGTCCAGATTTGTGATATGAGCCAATGTCGTAACTGATTAAGACTAAATGAGTGAGAAGAGTGAAACTGGGAAGTACGCTGGGCGTAATCCCAATACGCACAGCGTAGGGGTCGAGCATCCCCGATGCATGCATGACAACAGAGTATGACCAGTGGAGAGAGTTGGTACGCGCATCGTACTCTTTTGGTTGACTTTTAGGGTTTGGTCAATTTGTGTACTATTAAGGCCATTTAGGGGTAAACTGGTATTTTACCCTTCTGTGAGTTTGTAGAAGGGTTAGTTTATCTCATTGAGAGCCGCGATTAATTAGGGATGATAGTTGTATGTATTAGGCGAAGGCTAGACTGGTGATTTGAGTTTGAGATTAGCCAATTTCTTGCGAGGTGAGTCTTTTCACTATACTTACCATGAGTGGTATCCTTGTGTGACTGAGATGTCTTATGTGCTTATCTGTGTATTGTGATATTCTGTATTTTGTCTTTGTGGGTTATGCTTATTATTATGAACTTATTTAGTTAGGGCCGTGGGTCTCCACTGGAACACATTGACCGGAGGGTTGTATTGAGTTAGCTTCGAGTGGCTAATGTGATGTATGTGGTATTTTGGGGAACTCACTAAGCTTCATGCTTACCGTGTTATGTGTTATATGTTTTAGGTACTCCAGGATAGCTGGAAGGCACCAGTTTGATTGTACACATACTCACATTGGAGATTTATTTTTGGAGGATCCTGGATTTGTGATAAACAAATTTTGAAATATGTGTTGATGTTTGATACTGCAGATTTTTGAGAAATGTGGCATGTGTTTACTTGTTTTTGAAAATGAAAAATTTTGGTTTAAAAAATGTACGTCGTAACAAGTTGGTTTCAGAGCCTTGGTTTGAGGGATTCAGATGCACCTCCGGGTGTGTTTGGACTCAAACTGAGGCTTTGAGAGAAATTTTCAAAAGAAATGATTTTCTAAAACGGGAAAGAGTTTTAAAAGGAAACGAGTTGGAGCGGTGTGTACAATCAGTCAGAGCCTGAACAGTGATTTCCCAAAATACCCATACTTTTGTATTATGAGATATTTATGCGATATTGTATTAGAATTGCATGCTAGAAAGTAGGATATGTATTTCATATTATAGGGCTAGATTTGCCTAATTTATGATACCTTAGCCTAGGAGATACTTTTGATTAGTATTATCTTTTATTTGCTCTGAGTATGTGCTGAGTTATGAGTCGGGAGGTAATATAAGAAGAGATACTTTGATGAGCATGTGAGTAGTCTACAAAGAGAGTAGTCTGAAGTTTGTGAGGGATAGAGTACTTGTGAATTAGAATTCGAGGAGGAGGACTTGGGGTGACTACAAGTGGGGTGTGGAAGGTAGTATTGGGCCCGTACTACTGAAAGCACTCGGTCTGTATGCAACCCAAGTAAGAACCCTTAGGATGCTAAGGAGCAAGTAAGGATGAGTATTCGAGTGAGAGTATGCTCGAGTGAGTCTCTGATGATTTTGTGTTGTGTTTCAGAGACATCATGGTAGGTACACGCCACACCCAGGGAGCAATGGAGATAACGATGATGAGATTTGTAGGATGATTCACGACGAGGTGGTCGCAACCATACGAGAGGCTATTCTGGAGATGTTTGGGTCTATTAAGACCACTTTGATCGAAACGTTTGACGAGCGATATGCTGCAGTTTCTGA